AAGAGCCGATGATACAAAAAAAGAGTAGATAAAGGCATAGAAACCATCACTTTCTGTTTATGTCTCAGGAGGAGTTGCAACACTGTAGGACCATGTAGTATCTAGTTACCAACATTGTTTGAAGCCTTTGACAAATATAAGTTGACATGAAAGCAAGTTTAACACACAGACATAGACACACAAACTCACACAAACCACACACAATCACACAAAACACACACACAGACCACACACACTCACAGAACACATATAGAGAGACCACACTCATAGAACAAACTCATCCAAAACACACAAATCACACAGACAGGGACCAAAACACACACAGACCACACACACTCACACAATACACAATCACACGAAACACACTCATAGAACACACACATTCTCTCTCTTGTTTCTATTTGTAAGCCAAGAGAAGACTAGATAACCAATATATCACAATGGTTATATGTGTGTTTTTGTTTGAATATAGTCAAGGCTAATCAACCAAAGAGTAATTTTTAGTGGAAGTATAGGAAGCTTGGGAAATGTTTTCAGAAGGAGTTAAATAGGCAAAATAGTTTATTTCTATCTATTCAAGTTTTGCCTTGCGTAATGCTCGGCCTTTTTTGCACCATTTTTTTTATCCCTCTTTACATTATTGTTTGTCCTTGATTTCGGGACCAAGAAGCTCGAGTGAGAGGATCAACTCAACCAAAATATGGTCCAAGTGCATTTTAAATGGCAGTAAGCATATTCTTTCCCAAAATCTCTCCAATGCCACACACAGACACAAAACACACATACAAAGCACACAAACAGAGACTAAAACACACACAGACACACACATTCACACAAAACACACTCATAGACCACACATGTTAACAACATTAAAAGGGTAAATAATCCCAGAATATCAAGTCCCTAATTAATTAAAAAAAAAAGCAATATACAAAGAGAGTAAATAACTATAGAATTTGATATTGACTCTTTTGCCTGGAGAAAAAGAGCACAAAAGCCTATCATAACAATACCCACACACAGTACCCACAAATCGACACACACGCACTAATAGGTATACCCATAAATCGACACACATAAACACACACACACACACACAAAATACATATCAAAGCTAGATCTATGTATATTTGTGCATATATATACAGATCTATGCTATATATATATGCACAAATCTATGTATATATAGATCTATATATACATACTTTCACAACAACCTTTTAGCTCAGTACTATGGTTCCGTTGAAGAAGGCAGCAATGTAGATCGATTTGTTAAAGCAGGCAAGAAGAAGGAATGGAGCTTGGATTCGTCTTCCAGACCCACAAAAAGCTACAATCATTCGTCTTCATTGGTATACAAAGAGAGAGAGAGGTTTGAAAGTCATGTATATACTTCCACAAAAAATAACACATTTTGTTGGTAATGAGGGTTGAATCCGAGACCTCCTTAAAACCTTTCAGCTGGGCTTCGCGTGTAATGCTATAATTTTTCTCTTCTTTTTCGGAGACGTTAATTGATATAAAAAGACTCAAATAAAAAAATAGAGCTCTAATTGTCCTAATAAAATTTTATTTATCAAAATCATCATACAATACAAATAAATCTATCACCATAAATAAATCTCCCAATACAAATAAACATCAATTATGTTATCTCCTCGTCTTTAATACTCTGATTATTTCATTCCGATCTTTTCTTTAAAATCAACCTGAAAATATTAAATAAAGCGGGGAAGTATACAATATGATGAGGAAAAATATGTTCAAGAACATTGAATAACAAATAATTGAGTATCACAAAGTATCTCATTCAGCAGATACAAACATCAAATTTGCATATCACACATCATGCAGAATCTTAACATAGATCTAACACCTCACCAATCATCCCACCTCAACCCGATCCCACGGGTCTCTTGGTTGGCGATGCATCGGCTATTGGCTGCCACGATCCCGTCTCAATATCCACAGAACATGATCAATGATATCAAGAACACGATCAATGATATCAAAATATTCAACGTTATTCAATCAAAATTTTAAAATAACGATAGCACAAGTTGGAATACAAATCAGAAAATAGATCAAGAAATACTCTTTGCAAAGAGATTCAATGAGAGCATATTACATACTACCCCGTACCTCAGAATCATTATGTGAATTCGATAACTCTTATTTCTATTTCATTTTTCTTCCTCTCGATTTGAACTAAAAACACCCACCAAGATTTGTTTTCTCGCTCAGTCTCTTCCGCCTTTGCTCTCGGCTTAACACACACAAACACATATATATTTTTCTTCTCTTTCTTTTATTCTCCTTCGCTCACAGTTTCAACAAACCAGTACACATACAGAAATTTTTCTACAACGTATTCAATGTTAACTACCATTCATTTACTCCATGAATTTCTTTATTCTTTCTCTCTCTTTCTTTTTTTTACCTTGTCTTGTCTCTTTTATTTTTTTTTCCAAAGTCTTCACATGGGTGAAGACCAAAGAATCATAAAAGTTGAAATATTTATATTTTACTCCCCTTTGTTTCACTTATTATATATATCAACCACAAAACTTAAATATTCCTTATTCTTTCACATTAAAACTCATAATATTTTATACTTAACTACCTCTAAAAATTTGGAATCTCACATCGCGTGTGTTTCAAGTGTTCCCTGGAACATTTTTTTTTGTTTCCATTTTTTTGGCTTGTTTCCAAGACAACTAAAACGAAACAAAAAGTAAAACAATAACCAAACATGTGTTTTGTTTTCAATTTTGGAAAAAATTGAAAACAAAAACATAAAGCAAGAGACAAAAACAAATAGGCCCTTAGTCTTTTACCATCTGTTTCTTACCATTCTACCGAAAAAATGGTTTTTCATAGCTTTTCAATTTGTGCAGACTTGAACAAATTCGAGTGACACTCGTAATGTAATCCAAAAATTTTAATATTATCTAATCTATTATACTCTCTACACGTCCCATGTTAATTTCCTTTCTTATATTTGTATAGATTTTCTAACCGAAACTCCTATAATGTATTTAACAGTATTTTGGATTACCTTGTATTTTTGGACAACTTCAATTTGAGTCATGTTCACCTCTTCCTTCTAGTGGGCGTGACCATTGAGGAGATATTTTTGCAAACGTCTGAGTTAGGTCTTGGAGTTGCTAGTGTCTATCAGTACTCTCACACGTAGAGGCTCAACTGATTTAGGACAATAACCACACGTCTTTCAGACTCGTAGACCAACTTTTTTTAATTTATATATTTATTTTATTCAATTCTAAGTTGATTGTTATTTTATGTTTGTTTATATATTTTTGTTAGTTTGTGATATTTATATTAATTTATTAATTAAAATTATGTATAATCATGCTAATTTTTCCAACAATTTGTATTGAAGCTTGGCCTAAAAACGATTACTAAGGGTATGTTTGGATTGCGGGATAAATGTGGACAACTACGGTAAGATAGGATAAAAAAGTATGTGGGCCCATATATCCCACGTTTGGTAAGTAAAAAATGAATAGAAAATTTCATTCGAATTTTATCTCGACCTAATTTAAAAAATAAATTTTAACTCACCTTCATAGATTAAATAAAACCCAAGGAGGGGTTGAGATATTTTTTTGCCAGGATATGTAATGTAATTTATGGATATGCCCACCCCAAGTCAGAAGATCTTCTTGGTTAATTTTTTTAAACGTTTTATGTTGTTAACTTTGATAGTTGATGAGGTGTATTTTTTATGGTTACAATATATTTAAAAATATTTATTTTATATGGACATACCAGGTACATGACTTATTGGCTTTAGAAGCTAGCCAAAGAAAGCTTTCAAACCCCTTCGGTAAAATAAGAACAACCCCTACATTTAAAGCTCCATTTTTATCATTAGCAAGAATTTGTTTCAAGTTGTTAAAAAAAATATAGATATGAAAGTGTATTTTTTTATTTGGAATAAGTTGAAGGCTAATTTATAAACTAAACATGGGGGTGAATTAGATAAGATATGAGTATAATAGTTAATAAAAACAAATTACGTCACTCTTAGCTATGGACTTCACAATAATATATAATCTACTGAAATAGGAGAAATGACTAAATTTATATCCTATTCGGATGAGCGCCGAATAAATTTAGATTGAATAAAAAATAATATCTTTTTAAATACACAATCTGCTCCAAACCAGTCATCCAAACTTACCATAAGTATAAAGAACATAAATAAAATAATCTTACTTGAGGATTTGCTGGGCAATTCCCATTTGATGACCAAAGAAAGGTCTTGTACATTAGCTTGCTATGCCGAGTTTGGGTGCGTTTTGGCACACGGCAAGCCATCAATTCTCGAAAAAAGCCAGCTTAGAAGCTTTTTCTAGAACTTGCACTCTAAGATACAAGTGCGATCAAATCTGCATTTTTTTTTTCCGGGTTATATTCGACAATTTCCTTAACTAGTCCGGCCAAAAAAACGGAGGAAAAATAGCAAACCAACTCCTAGAACTCAAAAAAACACAGAAACCTAAATGGCCTACATTCACTCCTTAAACTATGGCCTACATCTCAATCTCACTTACTACCACACAAGTAAAATATCCACCTGCTCTATTTGAACGAAGAATACGAAAAAAGTGACGAAAATTAAAAGATATAGCCTAGGGGGTAAAGAATAGGATTTTTTTTTTTTTTTTTTTTTTATAAATGGTAAAGAATAGGATGTTGCGGAAGAAAAGAAAGTCTTATAACACGGAATGGTCAACTGAAAATGGTCAACAAGTACATGAAGCTGAACCATCGGATGCCTTTCATATTAAAAATAATAATAAAATGAAAAGAAAGTACGTGAGATAGAGACACACAGCTTTTAATTTATTTTTATATTAGCCCCGTTATTTTGACCGAATGTTAATCAGTTGCTATTATTATTCTTATATTTGTATTTAAATCTTTTTCAATACTCGTTCTCAAAGTCGTTGTGTGTGTGTTTATATCATAACAATTTTGTCTTCTTCGCTCTTTATTCCCAACTGTTTGACGTAACAAGGCATCGACGGACCGTCTCAAATGGAGAAACCAATCAGTTGAACAACATTTTCACCGATTTCACCATATTGGCCACCATCTCTTTCTCTCACTAGGTTTTCATTGCTGCTTTTCAAGAATTCATACAAAATCTTAGATTCTCTCTCTCTCTCTCGCTCGCTCGCTTGCTTTAGCTGTTTTTCTTTCGATAGAGAGCGATGAAGACGTCTCTGAAGAAACTGCGAGGATTGGCGCATCACATGCACGAAAAAAGAGAGCGACATGTCCAACCATCTAAGGCTCAATTGGATGAGCTCGCTCAGGCTTCTCAGGTAATTTATCTTATTATTTCTTCACGCTTGCGTTTGATTCCCGATAAAATGTTGGACAATTAGTGAGAAAGACAATGAAACCTGTAATTTGCCATCGTTCCGTTCTCGTTGTGCAGTCAACTCAACCCCGTTGCTTGGTTGAGGTGAAAATTTTTCAACTTTTTCTTTTGCGAATCGCCTAAAAACGAAGATTGGAAAATGCGATTCTAAATTTCATCTGTCTCTTCGATTTATTTCTCCAGTACGAAATGAATTTGGATTTCAACGTTTGACCAGAGTTTGTGCAATCACATGCGCGACTTGAGAAACAAAGAACTAGGTCTAATCATATGGCTAGAACATAGGAATGTTAGAAATGGAAATATCGTATTTTAAGTCTTTGTATTGTTGAAGGAAGGCTTTAGTTTTTAGCTTGTTTTTAGGTTTAAAGGTGGAAAGTTTCCCCGGCGTGGTTATTTATTAGATCCTAATGAGAATCGAAAATTTTGAAAATGCATATCTGTATTCTATCTTGTACAAGGGTTCTATATATCAATCAATTGATCTTAATTTATTTCAGGACATGGAAGACATGAGGGACTGCTATGACAGCTTGCTTTCTGCAGCAGCAGCGACTGCAAACTGTGCATATGGTATTGACTCTATTGAGTTAAAATGTATTTTTTCCCTTTGATTTGCTAGATAAATTGTGCTGATGACATTGATCAACCAGTTAGCTGATGCTAAACATGTAGTCCCCTCTATTTTCACTTGGAGGATTTTTGTTGTACATTGCTAATTGCCGATATTCTCTATTATGGGCATCTATTTTCAGAATTCTCAGAATCACTACGGGAAATGGGTGATTGTCTTCTTGAGAAAACTGCATTGAATGATGATGAAGAAAGTGGTGAGTGTTTATTGATTTGCTCCTCTTAGGAATTGTAGACAATTTATCATTATATATTATGTAGTGAGGATCATGTCTGGACACACTGGGTTTCTGTTTTGGGTTGTTTAGTAAAAAGAAAAATGTATTCATTTCTGGGCTTCTTTTACTTTGCCTTCTCACTGGCTCTAAGTTGCATATTTCATCTTTATGCAGCCTTCTTGCCTAAAAGGGTAGGACTGTATTGTGGAAGTCAAATTCTGTTCTTCAATTTTGTTTCTTCATATTTGAGTTGCAAAGATATTTGAAGTTCAAGATTTGGCTATTGATATGTACTCTGGGGATGACCGTGATGATTGGTTTATGTTCCATTGTATTTTTATGCTATGGACTTTGCATATCTTTCCCAACCTACACTAATTCTTTAATTGGTTATGATCCAAGACCTTATTTTGGAAGAAGGAGAGTTACAACAGGCTTTGTCTTGGTTTTGATCTGCATTTTAGGAGCAAGCATATGTAATTTATTTAGTCCTTCAACTTCAATACACTGCTTATTTTTAGATGCCAAAATTCCAGGGGAATCCTAAACTTTGGATTTAGATCCTAAACAAGTAGAGGATTTGATGAAAAATGATTGAGCAGACTTCTTTTGCAAAATTGACTACAAATTGGCCTCTCTTCTTGTTCTTTGCTTTTTATTATTATTATTATTTACTTTCTTTTTTTTCTCCGGATGGAAGGGGGGGGGGCAGGGGGAGGGTGTTCCTGATCCTCTACTCTTTATTTCTTCTTTTTTTCCCTTTATTTTATTTTCTTTAATTTGTTTATGGCTTAAAAATCTGAACAACTTCTGTAGGTAAAGTTTTGCTGATGCTGGGAAAAGTGCAGTTCGAACTCCAGAAACTTGTTGATAGCTATGTGGGTCATTTAATTTTGAATGGAAACCTTTTTTTTTTGGAGTTCTTACCTTGCACATACCTGACAGTGAGTTATTGCATTGTGTATTTCAGCGGTCTCATATTTTCCAGACCATCACAATCCCATCAGAGTCCCTTCTTAATGAACTACGCATAGTTGAGGTTTGTTCATATAAACTGTTTAATGCAATCAGCATATTTTTTTTTTTTTTGTTGTGCCTTGCGTTATTTCTTTATTTTTACACTACTACCTTGGCTTCCCATTCAAGCTGAGTTTTTTTCTCTTAACTTCGATTTTGCGGTTCATCTTCAATTACTTGTGCCTTCAAGGGAGAAAAAAGAGTTCCCTCATAATTTTCCGTATATTACACTTGCTGAGTGGGATCTGTTTAGTGGTTGAGCCTTTTGAAAAAGTCAGCTCTGGTTATTTTAGCTTTCTAATTTTGAATTGAAAACTAAGAACAAAAACAGATGGCTAGCAAGATATTGATGATTGGCTTTGGAAAATGATAAAGGTTTGCTTACCAGAAATTTGGAAAAAATGGTAGTAGTAATGGGATGAAAATGGACAGCATGACCTTTTTCAGACTATGGGAGAATAGTGAGGCTGGCAGCATCATATACTTATGAAGGCAGGAGTATTCTTTTGTAGCTTTTGCTTATCTTGATGTCCCATTTTCTCCCTAGATTGCAAATCTGCGTTAACTGTCTAGATTCTCCATTGTGAGGTGTTTGTTATTGTTTATTGCTTGTATGCACCCTTCTCATTGCAGAATCATATGTTTAGCCCCCAAGCATTATACTGTATTAACAGCTGATGGGAAGTGTGTGAAGAACATTGACACTTGGGATTCTCCTTTTCTTCTTTTACTGCTTTTAGTTTCTAATTTTTTTCCTGGATTTTTCTTCCAAGTTTGTATTTCTTGAGGACTCGTTGTTCTCTCATTTACTTTTCCACTTTTATCATTTGTAATATTTCTTGTTTCTTATCGAGAAGAAAAGCTGATGGGATTTTCCTTCGTGGATGCAGGAGATGAAGAGACAATGTGATGAAAAAAGGTTCTATCATGTTTGTGCAGTTATTCTGTTATTTACTACATACGTATTTTACCGCTTTTAACGAACATCTTCTTTCCTTGGGCCATGATCTTCAGAGATATATATGAATCCATGATAACAAGACACAGAGAGAAGGGGAGATTGAGAAGCAGTAAAGGAGAACGTTTTTCTTCTCATCAGTTGGAACAAGCTCATGAGGCCTATGATGAGGAGGCAACCTTTTTTGTTTTTCGAATGAAATCCCTGAAGCGGGGACAATCCCATAGTCTTCTTACACAGGCAGCTCGGCACCATGCTTCTCAGGTTTTCTTCTTCTGCTTCTTTAGTAATTCTTATGACGGCCATTGTTAATTTCTTGTTGAAGGATTTTGATGTGTTCTCTTTCATGTTTGGATCCAGCTTTGTTTCTTTAGGAAGGCTCTCAAATCTCTCGAGGCAATTGAACCACATGTCAAATCGGTCACTGAACAGCAGCATATTGATTACCATTTTACTGGACTTGAAGATGATGACAAGGATGGTAGTAATTCTTATGATGATGACTATGATGATGAGGATGATGAGGATGAAGATGACACTGACAGTGGTGATGAAGAATGTGATGATGGTGAGTTGAGTTTTGGCTATGGACAAAAGGACCAGGGACAAGATCTTTCTATATCAAGAAACTCAATGGAGGTAAGACTCAAATATATTTAGTTATAGTGAGAGGAAAATTAACCCTGTTTTCCCTCCATTCAAAGTGAATGTGATACTAAAATCAGATTTGTATCTAAGGAAAGAGAATATAAAAAATATTTACTTGGAATTTTGTCCTTACCATTTGAGTTATGCTATCATGCTTTTTAAGTCATGGCCTTATAGAAGAGCATGGTGAATGACAGAGGACCATGCTGAACAGTTTCATTATTTCCTCTTTGTTAAGCCGTTTTGCCATAAAAATTCTGCTTGTTATTCTGTAATTTCCCACTACCTTGCAAGCCCATTGTGATCTACTGTAATTAAATGAAAATTTTGAACCTTAGCACTTCTACTAGATCAGATGTTAATAATGAGCATTTGTATACCATCAAATTATCACTGCCAGGACTTGACCGTTTGTAAAGTTTGTGTGGTAGGTTAATTCCGTTGACATCATGCATATGAGATCAGATAATTGTTTTAAGAATTCATGCGACACTGTGACTTTGCCAACATTTCACTGGGGGGGATCTTTTGATTAAGTTGCTAAACCTTGTACATTTTCCTAAAACAATCTTTGTATTTCCATACTACTCACTAATGTATATAATATCTTCCTGCAGTTGGAACATGTGGATCTTACGTTTCCACATGTTGCTTCAATTGATGCAGCGAAGGTAAGAGAACCTCCCCTTTCTTATTTAAACTGTGCAATGCAACGGTGTTGATTCTGTACGTGGAGTGCACACATAGGCCTTTCAAGTAAAGTTGTTTAGGTTGATTTGCTTGGGAGTCCTTTTTACTTATTCGGTTAAGATGATCTTCATCTTTTTTACGTGATGAATCAAATGAACCAATTTCATATTTAGGTGCTTTATTAGATCAGATGTATGATGTTGTCCATATAACTAGAGCAGAATGGATGGAATGGACAAGTGCATCAGAAGTGTTTTGCACTTTAATGTTCCTACCACATTGAATGGCAAGTTATGTTCAGCAGCCATAAATCCGGCTTTGAATGCCGGGCAGTCAAGAAAGATATTCACAAAACAAGTCTAGCTGAATTAAAGATATTGAGGTGGATGAGTTGTATGGAGAGGGAATTGAAGCAAGTTATAGGTGTAAACTGGATAGGAAGGCCAAAAGGCATGTCGAGTTAAGAGATGAGGAAGGTCGTGATTTCCTAGGATTTGACAGATGAAATTACTTACAAAGAGTTGACTGGTGGAGGGTTCAGGTGGTTGACCTCAGTTTTTTAACTCGATTTGTTGAACTGCTTTACCAACTTATTTGTTGGGTCATTTCTTCTCGCTTGGTGTGGCTTTTCAAACTGCACTACCCTCTCCCCCTTCTCTTAATCCTTTTGCGGTCTGATTTCTTAATATTGGATTTTTTGTACATCCAATGGCTATTTTGAGCCACAAATATTTATGCTTCTTTTTTGAATATTTGCAGGAAAATCTAGTTGGAACCCCTGGTGGGAATTATTTTGACCCTCAGAGAGAGCTCAAGGAAAGCAGCAAATCAGCTCCACTTTTTGCTGAGAAGAAATTTGATCCGGCTGAAAAGCCGAGACAATTATGGCCATACTCTTCACGGAAGTTTCATACTTATGTGCTACCCACTCCAGTTGAGACAAAGAGTCCAGTTTCGGTGAAATCAGATGCTCAAATTCTTCAAACAAAACAAAGACAAACAAGTGGGCGCATGCAGAATTTGTGGCATTCAACCCCTTTGGAACAGAAAAAATATCAACAGATTTTGGGAAATGAGAAATTATCAGGCCCCATCATCCTAAATACAGAGTCAGTACTCAAGGAAAGCAACAATAATACAAAACCATGTCGATTGCCGCCTCCTTTGACTGACAGAGTCTCCTCTGTGCACCTTGATATACATGCTGCTTCTGTTACTAAAAATCCCAACAGACAAGCTTTTTCTGGTCCATTGACAGGGAAGTCATGGGCAAACAAGCCTATTCTATCTGCCAGTGGTCCCATAGCCTCAACAGGACACTCTCAGCCGTTATCTGGTTCTCTCCTGCGTACTCCATTGCCTCGGCCATCCTCAACCCAAAAATTATCTTCAAGTGCTTCTCCTACTTTTGTGTCATCACCTAAAATAAGTGAGCTTCATGAACTCCCTAGGCCTCCTGCTCATTTAGCCTCCAATAGACCTTCATATCAAATTCATCATTCAGCTCCCTTGGTGTCCAAATTTCCAGAGCTTTCTGCTACGAAAAAAGTGGTGGTGTTCACTGCAGCATCTACTCTTCCAGTTCCTTGCCATACCATCCCTCGTAGTTACTCCATACCATCCAGAGATGACAGAGAAATGCCATTGAATGCATCCAAGCCATTGGATGCTGCTCACAATTCAAAGTTGGCTGAAGAAATTGCGTCACCTCCTTTGACACCAATTTCTTTGTCTGATATCTAGCCGCTATCTACTGCTTCTGGAACTCTTATTCCAGCCAGTCAAATCAGAGGTAACTAAAAAACTCTGGTTATTTCTTTTTCATTTCAAATAATTTCTCTTAAATCACGTCTAAAGTAACGATATTAATTCATGGGACTATCAGTGGATCACGTATCAGTACTACTTAAGTTATCATAAAGGAGAAGATGGTTAGGTGAGAAATTATCTGATTATCAAAACATTGAGCCTTATAGTCTTCCGGAGCAGAACTTTATATGCGCTTTGGTGGTGGCGGAGCCACGATGTTGGGAGGGGGGCAAGTGCCCCCTCTGAACTGTTAAGATTTACTGACTACAAATTGTTACAAAGACCATGATGTTACTACATTGCATCTTTTGTTGTTTAAATATTCATATGGTGACCATGTTCCTTTTTCTTGTTGGTAATTTTGGTGGCCAGCTATCGGCCCCCTAATCCAAGTACACAAATGCTCTATCTTTGGACTATGCGAAAGAAATGTCAAATGCTCTGACCCTTAAATATATATGCCTCCATTTGAAAAAAAGAAATTGTAAAGTTGCCCCTCACTCTTTTTCGATAAGTGGTCATAAACCTAGGGAGACAGTCTTAGTCTTCACCTTGAAGTTGAGAGTTCGAATCTTGGAGTCCCCATTGGGGCTTGGTGGTTGACTGCTATGCTAGTCTAGTTAGGTTTGGTCCTGAGAGGTGTTCCAGGGCGTGGTCAGGGGCCTTATGATCCCACCGGTGAGGGCCTATCGGGATGGTCGATGAGCATTCTTCCTAGCCCCCACCCCTTTCATATTTATCAAAAAAAAAAATTCTCAAATGTCCTTACCCAAAAAGAGTGTTTTTAATTTCTCAGCAAGATTGAAGACAATATTTAAGGTTATAACAAAATAGAGAATGATTTTACCACAAATTCTATATGTATATATTGCAAGGAAATTTGTAAGAAATTTATTATAATGTTAATTATAGATGCTTCTTGAAATTAGAAACTACATTGTGTTCTGGTTTGAGATAGTATTGATATTGGTTTCATGATTCATAGAATAATTTAATTATGAATCTTACCATATTTCTCATGCTTAAACTCAAAAGACTTTTTTTTTTTTGTATTAGTTGGTATTTCCTTGTTCATGTTTGTCCCTCAAAAATGGAACCTTGGCTCCGTGCTTGGTGGTAAAACCATGGTTTCTTCTTCGTTGTCGTCTTCTTTTTGTTCCCTCTTTTCCTTCGTGTGTCATCATTCTAATATGTCATCTATATTATATCCATGACAACATAAATATTGCAAGTAAATGATGTATTGTGCTGTTGTCGTGTGGATGTTGAGCTGTTTATGTTGACATGAAATTTTCTGATTCTGCTTGTTATTGTTCTCAATGGACACAGGTGCCGGTTTACGCTATGTCCAACTCATCTGCAAATAAATTTTGGCTATGTGCAGCTCATCTGCAAGAAAATTTTGTTCTTAACACGTCAACAGAATTGGGGGAGGGCGATTAGTGTTTTTTCTTCCTGGGTACGGGCGCAAATCTGTAAATATGTCCTTTGATCGGTATGTTTCTTCAGGTTCCGAGTGTTTGCTCTAGATGTTTATGTATTACGATGATGGCTGCGCATCAGTTCATCAAATTACTATCTTTTATTTCAATCGTAGGGGAGATTTTGAATCACCACCAAGGAATTCATAACCAATTTTCCCTCAGTTTTGAGTTTCAAATCTCACCCTTAATTTGTGTTATTTTGGATGAAAGACTTTATATAACCTTGCATGCGGATACCATTTCAGCCCATTGAGAAGAGATAGGTAGTGTGCCTTCTGTGCTTGGATTATCTTATCAAAAGGATCTTAGAAGTAGAGGTTGTAAACGACCTAACAAACTAGTTTGAGCTTGAATTTGACAAGTTCATTTTTCAAAATGAACTTAAAAAAAGTGTTTAAGCTTGGTTTATTTTTTTAAAAAAAAAAAAAAACAAACTTGAGTTGAGTGCAAAACGAGCTAAACAAGAGTTTAACCCGAATAATTTGATTATTTTAAATATAAATGAGTTGAATTTTGTGAACATAAAATAAAAACAAGTCGAGCTTATACTATCTAGCTTTCTTCGGGGTTGACATTGGTTTTAAGGGGCAAAGAATTATCTAATGTGCAAGTGTTTTTGGACCCCTATTGTCACAGTATGCATTTTATGATTCTCATTCTTTGCTAAAGCAAAGCCAAATCAACCACCATTTTAACGCTGATAGTACCTCAAATATGCCCAATATTGAGCTCAGTAATTCAGGTCTTGCAAATCGGGAGCTCAGTTGCACGAAGACTTAGACTCCAGACCTCGAACTCTCTACATTTGCATCTCAAGGAAGACAGCGTAAAAAATAGCCGGTTTCCACCAGGCACCCCTCGATAGCAACAACCACCCACCCAGGCACGAGATTTGTAATCGTCCCAATACCCTCCGCAACTGTTGCACCATATAAGTTGCTGTTACGAGGAGGAGGCAAGGATCTCACCATAAATCTGGCTAGGCTCAGAGTCAACTATAAATAAGAAACAAAACTCTCCATAGAAAATCAAGCAATTATAGCCTCACTCATATACTCTTTGCAAAAGCTCCCATTATTAATATATTTCCTAGGAGAAAGGAACTCTTTTTAGAGTAGATTAACCGAACTGGTGAACAACTATACACTTTCTATGTAATAATCTCATTCCCTTGATCCTATTCACAAGAACCTTGAAATTCAAACTGAACTATTCAGTGTACCGCATATTTACCACTTTGCTCTGTCGTGTTTCATACATCATCAAAAGCCAAAACCAATTCAGCTTTCATTAGATATACGAATTGATATATTACAGAAAGAAAATTGGTGGCCTGGAGATGAGATTCTCCTTTTAAGGAAGCTCTATCTTTACATATACGAATTAATATAAGGAAGCTCCTTTGGGGTCTAAGTAGTATTGACAGTACTAGATATTTTTCAAAATAAGGCACTTCCCACCGCACACAACCAAAACCAGTTGTCACTTGGTTTCTTCAATTGCAATCTCCTACATCATATCTTACAAATCCCATTAGCTCAGGTCCCTCGAGTCTTGGATTATTCATAAAACTGCAAGCAGACAGGAAAAAAAATACCCAGAAACATAAGTTCAATATTCTGAAAGTGGAGAACAAGTAAAATCGGACGCAGATCTTCTCCAATACATGTTTCCTTCGATTCCCTTCTTGACATATCAGGAATCCACTTGAATGCATAGATGATATGCCAAGAAGAAAATTGAAGAAAAAAATGTATTGGAGGGGATTTCACACTAGTAAAATCTTATTAATGGCGAAATTTCCCTCCAAAACCAAAACAGCAAGATGTCCCATGTTTGGCAAGAATTGACCCCCTGAGCTCCTATTTGGAAGCGTCTGGGGTGGCCAAGTGAGTTGCACATATTTTCAATTACCTTTTCTCTGTGAGCTTAGAGAAAGAGCCCGAGGTTGGAATTGTACCACACAAATCATTGTTTGATACATCTCTGCATTGAACATAAGTTAGATTCCTGTGAGAGAGAGAGAGAGAGAGAGGGAGGGAGGAAGAGGAGTGATTTAGGCATGCATTTTTGTTTTGTTTTAGTTCTTACAGAATCTTGATGTTTCCAAGCTTGGTAAGCTCTCTAGGTATTCTCCCGGTCAACCTGTTATGGTTCAGTCGCCTAAATTTGACATTTCGTGAGCAAGCAGTCAGTACTAATAACAAAAGATCTTACTTGTAGCATAGAAGATATGTATTAATTTCAACCAAGTCCCACAAGCAAGAATAATTTATACTTGGAGAGTGGAATTGATACTAATCAGACGGCAGAGATTAAATATGGTAAATATGTAATTACAAGGAAGGAAGTAAATGCTTACAGGAATCTGAGATTGGAGAGGGTGGAAAGTGATGGAGGGATGTGACCAGTGAGGTTATTGTGATAAAGATCCAAGCTTACTAGGCTCTTGAGTCCTCCTAGTTCACTTGGTATTGGTCCCACTAGCTTGTTCATGTATAGCTCCCTGTACAGTAACACAAAACCAACCAATTCAATTCTATTTAATGCTTAGTGTGTCATGAAGAATTTAATTCAATCCCAGACATTCATCATAAGAGTGAGTCCATAATCTGACATACATGGATTGACTGGATGGTGAGTTTGGTGAGATTCATCATGAAATTTGACATAATATAACTCAGTGGGGATCAAACTAAAACTCAAAAAAGATCAATTACAACCAAATCAAATGAGGTTGGGTTCCATTCTCATGTTCTTGAAATGTTGGGAGCAACCAAATCACCTCATTTAGTCGTCATCTCATCTAATTGAGTAGTAACTTTTCGTAAAATGTCAAATCTGTTAGTACTGTAAAAACAATTATTTTTCAGCGGATTCTTCTACCCAGTCCCATATGTGGTACTTTATTTTGTTCTCAGTTAGAATATTTTTCGAAGTTGAATGCATTTTATGCTTAGTCCATGTCTGGGCAAAGACTAGTTGATAGTAAGTAACATTAGTAATGAATATCTGGAAAGAAAAATTAATATATACTCACAAATACTGAAGACGCTCGAGCTTCCCTAACTCGGGAACTAGATTGCCCGACAGCTTTGCGTTTCCAAGGTCACTGCATAAGTCAATATATTATTGTTAATACCACTATTTTTATTAGTCTTATTAAACAAACAGAAAACATTGGCCTGAAAAGATGAAAAAAAGCACAAATATTTGCACAAATTTGACATATGAGGAGAATCAAAATCCGCAAAGCAATTCCATAAATCAGAAATTCTTTGATTTGGGTGATTTATTGGTTGATGATCTAAAATTCCTTTCTGTTTTAAGTTTTAAAAATGGTGGAATTTGTTTCTAAATAGTCCACTCCAAGGAGAATGCAACATGGCTTTTGCTAACACAAACTTGAGAGAGAGAGAGAGAGAGAGAGAGAGAGAGAGGATAATACAGATACTTACAGTCGGGTGACCCGATTATCGGCATCACAAGTGACATGAAACCAAGTACATGGATCCACCAACGTAGGATCCCAGCTCTGCAAGACGTATTGTGGGTCATTAACAGCTCTTCTCAATGCATAAAGAGCATCTCCTGTTGAATAACTCAACCATTAGACAAATAATATATGACAGAAACATATAGAAGAAATGATAAATGTGAAAAAAAAAAATGGAGAGATCTATAGAGTCCATGCATTGCATACCCTCCACATTCGCGTTGGTGAGCTCTAATAGAAGAAGGACAAGAAAATGAAACAGAATCCATATCGCCATTTGTGAAACTTGAAAGTTGAAGTTGAAACTTTGAAAGCCTTTGGCCACTCAAAGCTCGTACAGATGCTTAGAGGAGAGGGAGAGAGAGAGAGAGTGTGTGTGTGTGTGTGTGTGTGTGTGTGTGTGTTGTAGTGTTTGTTCAAAGAGAGGAAGCAACGAATCTAAGCATTGTTGGAGAATTTATAGAGCCCATAAAAGGAATGCTCGTTGTGGGAGCAAAATTGTAAATACGGTTCTTATTGTGGGGGTGGGTCCTCTATGGCATATGCTATATCCGACTTTCTGTTTTCTCATTCCATGAAATTTAATTTGTACTTCCCAAATTACCCCTCTTCATGACTCTTAATCAAGAGCATGTACTCTCGTCATTTGCAGCTCTCATCCACACCTCAAATTAATTTGGATAAGATAAAAAACAGTAAACATACATAACTAATAATTTTCTTTTACCATTCAATTCTTCAATCCAAAATTCATCGTAAAATGTTTGTATAACCACATCTAAAATTAAAATTGTGTTGTCCATCTGATGCACATTTTCTAACGTTAAATTACTGTACATTTATATATAATAATCTTGCTACATAATGTCTAGTAAGGTTGATAAGTCCAAAATTAACTGGGTCAAACCCAATAAATTAATTGAGCCCAAGTCAGCTAAATGACAGTCCAAGCCTACTTTGTCAATCTGACCTAGTTCAGGATCCAAGAAACCTAGAGAGATAAGAGCACGTGGGAAAAATTATCGGGATGCGCACTCATAAAAATTCAATCATATCTTAATTGTATTTACCAAAAGGGTAGAGCCCTCTCCCTCGTGTCATCGTCTCACCACCTCACCATACCTATATAATTTAAGCTCTCTCCACATAGAGGACATCACCTTGAGACCTCTACACCTTGGCACATCTACACATCTCTCTACACCTCAAGTTCTCTCTCTCCTGAAGCATTATAATTCTTCTAAAGTATACTCTTCCAGCGACTTTTATTCATCAATAAAAGACCTCCGGCTACCGCTGTCGTTCCCGAGAGTGGAGTAGGTTACGCGGACCGAACCATTATAAATCTGCATGTTTGCTCTTATTTATTGTTTTGTCATTGATTATCTTATTTACTGTTCATTAATTGCATCTCTTCATATACTCGACTGTTGATCTTGTACAAAATTAATTTGTGTATCATCAAAGGTTCTTAGGGATTGAATAACTTTTATCTTACCATAAGACATATTGGTCGATTTTATGAGATCAAGAAAGAATGAAATTCATCGAAATAAGTAATCACAGTGTCTTTTGAAGTAGTTTATTGGCCTAACATGTGACTATTGTGTTCATTCTATTTGGATAAGTGAGTCCCACTAACATGTAATACTAGTTAATGAAACACATCAATTTTTTTTTTTAATGTAAAATTTGGTAAGGGTGATGTTACTCCAGGTCCAGGGTACTCATAGAAATTCTCTAACTAATGGACAAGCAAGTTTAAACTCATAATCCCTTTCAATTTCTTGTATTATTCTCTGGGAGAAAAACAAGATAGAGGAGAGAATATTTGAGACCCGAACAACCTTAGAAAAACAGACTTGTCTTATTAAGCTGTCCTTTTGTTTATACAGATACGTACAGACAAGTGTACAGGACAAACAGAGAACTTGGGGAATAACATATATTTAGAAAACTGTAGTGGTCTGGTCGGGCATAGCATACATTTCTATGCTGTATTCTAGATTTTATCTCTCCACTCAAACTAAATTACTCAAGTCATGGGAATAGATTCGGTATTGAGTGGCTGAATTTTATTGTCAACCAACTTTTATGCATAAAAAGCCGTGGTTCATTGACAAGTGAAGTGAATTCTAAAGCAGCACTACACCCCCAACCCAATTGATAAATGAATATTTTATTGTAAAACCAATCTTTTTTCATTTCCACTTTGCAATACATCACAAACTATCATGCTCCGTTTGATAGGGAAAATAAAAAATAGAAAAGATAAAAAATAGGAGGAATACACTTTTTATCTTTTAAAGATAGAAAATAGGAAGGATACACTTTCTTTCCTTTAAAACGGTTGGATAGATGGAAAATAAAAATGATTATTTTTTTTTTTGCTGGCTAAGAATAGGGGTAACAATCGAGTCGTGTCATGTCAGATTCGTGTTGAATCATTACAGATTTGTGTCGAATATTAGTCAAACCTAACTTAACTCATTTATATAAATTAATGTATACGTATTGTATGTATATATAAAAAATATATAGATAAATAAGATACATTTCAACACAAATATTAACTTTCTTTCCGATTTCGGAGAGATTGATTTTGGTAAGTTAGAAAGAAAGTTAATACATCCACTTTTCCATCTTATCTAATATTTTATTTATCCCTCCAACTTTTCATCCTTCTAACTTTTCATCCTCCCACTTTTTTATTGTACCAAACGGAGTATTATACTCATTGATGTGAAGCTTGCCACATTGTGTCCTCAATATTATCAATAATTAACTAAGTTCAATTTCAAAGTCTTTGTCTTTTAGGCCATTTGAGTCTCATCTTACTGGACCGTAATCTCTTCCTCCCTCTCTCAAAATAATAATAATAATAATAATAATTTTATTTTAGATTTAAGAAGTGGGATCATGAAGTGTGACGATATTGGTTTTAGATCAATTACACATCAATGATTAAAAAATTTGTGTAAATTGGATCAATCAATATTAAATAATCTAACCACCTACATTGATTTGGGATAAAACAATTTGGGCAAATATTTGTGGAGCCCTCATCAATATTTTCTAGATCAAATGCCACATGGCTCACACCAGGGAATTAACAAAGTTTTCCAGTTTCAATTACCAAATCTTGTGGGTATTGTCTTTAGTGGTCTTGTTATGATATTAGTTTTTTGGATAATTACAGTCAAATTTTTTGAAGTGTGTCACTTAATTACTCAGATTCTTTGACACTTGAAATATTACACACATACCTCCTGAGATTTGTACGTGAGTAACATTTAAACCATGCTATAAATATATCTATTAATAAATTATGCTTAGACCCCTACGAAGTTTGTAAGTTTATAATACTTAAATTCTTTAAATTTAAAATATTATATTTATACCAAAAATACTCCAATTAAATGTAAAATATCAAATATTTTAAATTTTAAAACAAAAATTCATGTTCTATTGTATCATTTATTGAAATAAAATTAATAATAAAAATTTAATTTTTTTCTTAAAAAATCGTAATTAATATACAATTATACTATCTATTGAAATAAAGCAAAAAAAAAAAAAATCAAACAAGCGGTCTAAGTCATTTATAATAGAACATGAATTTTACATCTAAAATTCATGTTCTATTATTTCATTTATTGAAATAAAATCAAAAATAAAAGTCTAATTTTTTTAAAAAAAATCATAGTTAGTATATAATTATACTATCTATTAAAATAAAACTAAAAAATTAAACAAATGGTTAAACTATAATGGACACAATATATTTTAGCTTTAATTTGGATAGTTTAGTATTTAATTTGGTTGTTTAAATGACCAAATTAAATTTTAATAGACAATATAATTGTAAACTAATTGTGATTTTTTAAGAAAAAAATTTAATTTTTATTTTTGATTTTATTTTAATAAATAATACAATAGAACATGAATTTTAGTTGTAAAATTTAAAATATTTGATATTTTATCTTTGATTGGAATATTTTTTGTCTAACTATAATATTTTAAACTTAAAATGTCTAAGTATTATATATCTACAAAATTTAAGGTAGTTTAAGTGTAATTTATTAAATGATATATTTACATCAGGGTCTAAGTGTTATGCATGTACAAACTTCAAAGAATCTGTATATAATATTTTAATTATCAAGGAGTCTGAGTTATTAAGTGATAAATCTCAAATATATAATTCTCCCTAGTTTTTTTATTGGGTTGGAATCACATTGAAGAGTGGCTATCCAAAGTTAGTGGGCTGTGCTGTTGGATTGGACCTGTCAATCTAGCCTCCCACGCAATTGATACTTCGCATTTAACACTTGAAAACAGTCAAAAGCTCCAGCGTGGACTCGGTTCTGGTACTACCCAACGACAAAAAAGGCAGGCCTAAACCTTGGCTGCAGTATTGTGGAGAGATACAATGATGAACTTCTTCGGTGTAGCGGCCTGGGGTCTCACAGGTCTTCCCGGAAGGAAGTGTCAAGCGTGAATGCAGATCTTAACTGTTGGCATGTGAGACACGGCTTTTAACGTTCGATTCTTGTGGCCTCCCTCTTACTTTTGACTTCATGTTCATGGCACCTAGTGTTTGGTCTCTCTCTCTCTCTCTCTCTCTCTCTCTCTCATATGTGCCATGTGCACGTTGGGTTGTGCATATCACTATGAAGAAATGGCAAGTGGGACATGCAAAATACACCTTTGTATTATCACCTCTTCCTTAAAAGAAGCGACTTGACCAAGCTTTGCACTAGTAGTGTTCCATGATCTTCTTTACTTTTCAAGAGCTAGCAAAGATAAAGAAGGAAAAGGCCAAACCAGAAAAAAAGCCTTCTACTTCTTCAAATAGAAAAGCTTTCTTTATGGACAATTGAGTGCTATAATCTCTGATTGATTCCCGACTTCCTACCTTGAAAAGTCTGATGGATATTGACCGTTGACCTCTCAATTGCAAAATCTAGCTGTTCTATGACCCACCACCTGATATAGATTTTTTTTTTTTTGAATTGCACCACCTGATATAAAAGATTATTGTAGACAGTTATAATCTACTTTTGTGAGTGTCATTCTCACGAGTGGACTTTTATATGATCAGCATCCTTGATAGCTTACCGTGGGGCTGTCGAATCTTATGGAGATGATCTGTAGTATGACTAGACTACACACTAAGAACAGCCCTCCTCCCTCCCCTGTGCTCTTTTTATTGGTTTTTTTTGGGTAAACTTTGGGGTAATTGAAATTTCACCCAGTACTTATGATAGAATGGTGAAAATTTACTATAAAAAGTTCGAGTCTGTACTTTAAAACAAAAATACTTCACATTTCTAACTATTCTCATATAATGTCTTTTGTTTCCAAATAACAACAACTTTAGTAGATCATATCATTCTGTTTAGAATATTCTACATGAATGCTAAATTTTGATATACTTTATCTTTCTTTTTGATAGTCTTAACTTTTTGGAGATGGCATTCAAAATCTAAGGTTGACTAAATGGTCCGAAACCGAATACTAGTCAAGTAATTGGCTCCCCTTGTTTCTGCATCATTGAATTTTTTGTTTTCTTATAATTTTTCTTTTTCTAATATGAAAACAAACAGTCTCATAGATGTGTGCACCCAAGTCCCATCTTTCTCTGTTTTGCCTAATGGAATTTGTGAAGCGTTGATTGAGAGCAAATGCTGTTAAGTGGGGATCAAAATGATGATGATGAAGAAGAATTCGTTATTTCTTCCTGTAAAGGAAGAACAATGCTCAAAAGGTTCTTTTTGGCTTCAATAATTATCAGTGACCAACATGGTCTATGAGAAAGCCAACAAGTTAAAGTTCCCGCTTCTTTTCCTACAAATTTCAAATTGAAAATTGCAGTTCAGCGTTTCAAAAAGTGCCTTTGGTGGAGCTTCCTTTAAGGCTCAATCCATGGAAGATCTGTATCAACTTACAGATCACACTTATTTGGTACCAGCCATCAATTAGTCATGATTGAAGACTTTTACCCCAGCCCCAGACCCAACTATTGAGCAGTAGCTATGAGTGTAGCTCATTAGAGACTGATGAATTGTATCTTCGTATTTCTAAGTCGTGTAAGTCGTATTGTGTCAAATTTTGTTCAACCCGCATCCAATTCATTTACGTTAATGATCTATTGTTGGGTGTCATGCATGTGTAAGCCATGTTTTCTTGGGTTCGTATTGTGTGTAGTAAGAATTGTGCCGACTTTTTTATATGACGAGTCTAACGAATCCGCTACTTCCGCTACTTCTATACACATTGAAACATGAAGATCCAGTAAAAATCGACTAACACTCTTTTAACTGTAATACAATAAATCAGCTGGATTCTATTCAACAACAGTTAAGTATCCACCGGCATCTAATTTAGCATTTCATTCGCGTTCAAGCTTTTGCATCTTGTACTATTGTTGTAACAGCAAGTCCTTCAAAAACCGCAAAATGATAAGAAAAAAGTTAGGTAATTGCCAAGATGACTGAATCAAAAAGCCTCACTGCATTCAGGGTACCTGTTTTATTTTGCTGACAGACTGCCCCTGCCAAGTTATTATCCGATACATTCCTGATAATGAAAAATAAAAACCAAGTAATAAATTAAGGAAAAAGCACAAAGAATAGAATTAATAATGTTATTTTGCAAAAATTAACACTGTTTTAGATGATTTATATTGGAGACTGTTGATGGTACATGCATTTCTATAACTTGGATATATTAAGACGATACAATTACAGAAAATCTTTGTTTTCCTATATGAAATTACTATGTGAAATGCCTATGATACGAACGCGGTGGCAGTGAAATTGCATCTTTTATAGAAAGAACACATGATTTGATTGATTTTGAATATGAAATTTGTGGTTGTGACAAGATGAAAATGCTCATAGCTTACATAATCCTCAAATTGCCCCCAAAAATGAGTAGAATCACTTGGGTTGGTATTTCACCAGTTAGCTGATTACTGTTCAATCTCCTGCAATTACATCAATATAATGTTATATCTTTATTACTCAAAAATTTAATCTTTTACCATTTGCAATTCAAAGTAAATCTACTTACATATATCTTAAGGACCTCAAGTTGCCTAGAGTTGGTGGGATGATACCACTGAGTTGGTTTTGCTGCAGATCCAAGCTGATCAGTCCTGTTAAGTTGTCTAATACTCTCGGAATGGTTCCACTAAGCTTATTACCAGATACGTTCCTGTCAGTCCATGAGCAATATTTATATTTCTTAAGGCTTCACCAATCCAGAAGTCGAGCAATGAGCTCAATCTTTTTGATCTTTCAACCCACACACAGTCAGACAAAAAAAGGTGTGTATTATTTGAACTCCAGCAATACAAACTCATACAGTTTAAGCATATAATGCGGAATGATAGGATTTTTCAATCCGAATCCCAAAATTCACCCCACATTTGCCTAATTAAGATATCCTTGTGATTAGAGCCTCAAGAATATGAGGCAAACATTAATCCATCTCATTTATAGATCATCATGGTAGTTTAGCTTACTATAACTTACACTCCTTGGACCGTGGAAGAAAAACAGAATTACTGGTCAAGGTGATACATAGCAGTTAGACATATTATTTTGATCATGGTTTACCACGAATATTGCAATAGAAAGAACTATAAAACAAAAACTTACAAATATTGTAGGTTGGGCAAAAGTCCGAGATGAGGTACAAGAGTTCCTGATAATCCCGCATTGCCAAGGTCCCTGCAAACCAAATTATGTTTCAAATTTCAAGTTAAGAAGGCAAAAGAAGGGTAATTGAGAAACCAGCTAGAGTTTGTGGACGAAGACACCTACACTGTACTGACACTACTCTCCGTGTTGCAAGTGATGTGAGACCAGGTGCATGGATTGTCTAATGTTGGGTCCCAGCTCTGGAGGGCATTGTTTGGGTCCACCAAGTTGGTCTTCCAGGCATATAGACTATCCACTGATCAAGAAAAACAAATAGGCATGCTCAACTAATTGCTCATAAGAGCCTCTAAGTCTCCACAATTTCTAAAATCAAGGTGAGCATGATCTGACTAAAGTACAAAGGAAAAATATGAGTTAAGTTAATTTTCTTTCATACCTTCAAGATTGCATTCTACATTCAGAGTGGCAAGGCCAAAGAGAAGGAAAATTAGGGCCTGAGACCTCATTAGAGCAGTAGTGTAAACTGAAAAAACAGAAGATCAATAGAGTCACTGTGCAATTTCATTGGTTGAGAGACTTGGGTTATATATACGGGATAGCTGTGCACTGCCGCTAGATGCCGGCAAGAAAATTATTGGTTAAAGGAAGGCATGCTAGTCTGCTAAATAATAATCTTGCCAATGGCCGTTCAGTAGCTGACAAACACCTTCAAAAAAATAAAAAAAAATCTTATGATGAAATTAAGTAAGAGTAGTGCTATTAGAACCTAAAAATGTCGAATTCATTTGTACGACAAACTTCATATCTAGAAGATGCCAAAAGACTCATGACAATGTACACAAGATGTCACAGAGATTGTGGGGTTCCATGTGGAAGTCTAAGAAAGTAATGCTATGGCCTTGTTTGAATCATTCACTGACCCCAAAAAAAAAAAAAAAAAAAAAAAAATTCAAACCATGATTTTTGTTTTTGGTGAGAGAAAAGTCAATATCAAATATCTAGGTATAGAAAAATTATCCCAAGTTAGACGCGGATATCCCCAACTCTACTTTAACTTGAGTCAGGTCTGTTGCCTTTTTCTATCGTTGATACAGTGATGGTTAGACACAGGTAGGCTTGGAATTATCACCGGACCAAAAACGTCATGCTCCACATCAAAAAGCCCATTGTTTTAGCCGAAGCTGTTCAAGGGACCTTGTTCTTGCCTTCTTGCCTTGTAGAAATAATAATACCATCATTACGTAGCACAAGTTCCCTCAAACAAACAGAGCAATATATTGTTACATTGTTAACTAACTATTGCAGCAGAATGAGATCTAATTTTACTGTACTATGAGATTTTACAGAAAATGCTGATTTGCCAACCTGCTTCATCATCTGCTAGCTCCATTGCCACCAGCTTCATAACACAGTATCAGGTTGCTGAACAAGAATTCATCAACCCTTTCTTGATTTTGATTCCACCACAACCCACTTGTACAAACCAGAGATCTGCTTTTCATCTCAAGTCTTTTCGGCTCTTCTCCGGAGATTTATGATTTAATGCATTCCTTGCGGTTCTTAAAATGTCAGAACTGTTAACGCATGACATCCGATGCTGGATTTCACCATAATCTTCAAGCTTTGCTCTTCTGGCCATCTTTTCTTCCAACTCTAGCTGTAATATCATCTCTTCCAATGTTGGCTGGCCCTCCCTTAAAGTAGCGTTGTCCAAATAAGGGAAATCAGCCCAAGATTAGGTTGGTGTTCGTTAACAAAATCCCCAATCAAATCCATTTTTCCAGGAGTTCTCTTAGTATTAAGAGGAAATTAAAATGCGAAAGACTCCTACTACAACTGGAGTAGTCTAAAGCGGTACCTGAATGATATCTGGGTCAGTGTACACTGTACACTGGTACTGTGAGAATTTAAGTCAGGCAACTTATTCAGTCACATGAAATTCAAGGGTAGATTCCCAACCATTGAAAGAAATACAATATCCAATTCGTCATACGTTAACAAGAATACCCTCAGAAACAGAAAATAACGAAAAAACCACTGTTCCATCTGTAAAGACGTGATAACTTACCTTGCTATGCAGCCACTAGAAGAATGAAAAAAAAAGAATGGAAAACTTCTCTGCTACCCATCCCGTCCCTTCCAATGAAGGATTTAAGTGTGTAGTGCCTAAGATTGTGCGCACACACCTAGAAATTAAGGTACAGAATTCTCAGATGTTGTGGGATAGATGGCGGAGGGGGTAAGAAACATGACATTGTCTTAATTGGAGGTTCTTAAGGGGCAAAATCAAAGTATGGAAATCTGAAACCTTGTGATTAGGTAGGGGGTGAGGAGCATGCCCCCTCGACCTGCACTAGATTCGCCCATGCTTGCGCTACACCTTCATACTAGGGTACCACCTAATCCACCTGTTTTCTTATTTATTCGCAACTCTCGAGTGTCAATCGCCACTAGAAAAGAGTGCATGAAGGACAGTCGATCATTAAAGATGGTGCACATCCCTCAGACAAGGGGTAAAATGCGAACTTGTCTTATGTCTACACTTACTGCTGTAGATGAAGCCAAGAAGAATGTGGATTTGGCTCCGGCAATGTAATCAAGTTATAAAACAAATATGCTACTGTGAACACCCCTTCCCCTTTTTCTCCAAGGAGAGAAGGAAAACAAAAGAGAAGCCACTGTCTTCATAAAAGATGCCCGTGCACATTATGATCGTATAAATCAGCCTGGACCACAACCGGGTAAAAACTTTATACTTCCCAAGCTTCTATGTTTGCCAGCTACATGGCCTAGTGGAGGCCAATATCCTCACATCCAGCCCCTACACAATGTCTATTGTCATTCCAATGAACTGAAAATCATATAATTTGGCAATTGAGGAAACACAAAGACAAGCGGGCACCCACGCACAGATTTTATAAAAATGAAATAATGGTTGGTCCAAAAGAAATCAAATCTGCATGAATTGTACATTTTAATTGGAGAAATGTATGAAATATATACATACAGCACAGCACTGAAAAGTGCATCCTTCAAAAGTCATTCACGAATAATTTAACCATCTGTAGCTTCACTAGCCTTCACAAATCGACCCTTAACTCGTTTCCTAGTATCAGCTCTTGCCTTTCTGGACTCATATCGGATGTGCTTTTCATATCTATTCACAATGCAAAAGTACTCAATAAAATCCACATAGCAACTTTGATTGGGATCGACACCAGAAATTAAAGAGAACAAAGGGAAAATGGAAGGACTACGTACCTCCGTGTTTTCTTCTTCTCCTTATAACGTAGCATTGCATTGCCTCTGTTCTTTGCCAGCAGCTCCATGTCAGCAGTGGATATTGCAGCTGTTGCACTTTCACCTCTCATGAGAATACTTTGGTCCATAATCTGGATCTCTTTTGGGCCACCATAGCCTTTGGGTTTACCAAAACCTGAACCTGACGAATGCCTTGCAGTTGGTAAATTGTTGCTCTCAGATGTTGCTGGCCCCTGGCTTACTGTTGGGTTATTTGTGTTATTCTGCAATTTCAGTTATGTAACTAAGATATGAAAAAGAAACATAGACCAACATTGCACAGAGGAACAATGGGTAAATAAATGGCAGAAACCAGATTGTTTGCCCACATCAAATAAAGGCACGGGGAATTCTCTCACTCAAACTACCATATGGTGCTGGACTCATCACATATGCTATACATAATATCAGGCCACCAATACATCTTACTGACTGCCCAAGAAATAATCTCATTTTTTGCATTTTGCCTTCATGTTATCTTCTACATGCACATGGAAAAGACTTACATTATCCAATGGGGAGGGGGAGTTAAGGCTGCGTACATCTCACCTTCAGCACACTCTGCAGTGGCGGAGTGAAGTGCATTGGACCGGCCTAACTATTGTTATTAGTCAATCAGTTCCAGGCTTCCAGCATCTTTTGCCAAAGTATCTAATTTTAGATGTTCAAGATTGTGTTTGCCCCTGAACCCACCCCTAAAACAAGAGGGAAACAGGTAAAGAAAAATTTAGGGCTTGTTTGGTTTGCGTTTCAAAAACTAATATTTGAAAACAGTTTTTGAGAAGAGTTTTAAAAAAGTAGTTTCGATATTTTTTGAGATAAAAAATTTGTTTGGTTAGATGATTTCAAAAATAATTTTACAATACAGAAATTAGTAAAACCTGTTTGGACAGTCTAAATATATATTTGAACAGTAATTTAACCATTAATAAAAAAATATAAAAAATTTATTTTTATATTAACAATTTCATAATATATATATATATATATATACATATTAATATATATATATATAATATAATATATATTATATATTATGAGAGAGAGGAAGAAGTAAAAAAAAAAAGGAATGAAGAAATTTGCTGCTAAGGAGACTCGAAGGACAGACCTCATTAAAATCCAAAATTGTTTTCCATATTTTCAAAATTTTCAAAGAATACTCTGAAAACAAGCTAAACTTGTTTTATGTTTCTTTGACTCAAATCTCATTTTTCTCAAAATTTTGATAGGGCCATGTTTGATTAGCTTCCTGGAAACTGTTTTTTGTTCTCAAAATTTCAAAAACACCCAAAACCTGTTTGTTTAGCTTTTTTGTTCTCAAAGTTTTGAAAAAAAATAAAATTTGAATCAAAGAAACAGAAAACAAGGAGAACAATTTTGGACTTTAATAAGGTCTTCCTTTCTCTCATAATATATTATATAATATAATATATATTATATATTAATATTATATTATATTATAATATGTATATGAAAGTGTCAATATAAAAATAAATTTTTTATATTTTTTTATTAATGTTTGAATTACTGTTCAAATATATATTTAAGTTATCCAAACAGGTTTTACTATTTTCTGTATTGTAAAATTATTTTTGAAATCATCTAACCAAACAAGTTTTTTATCTCAAAAAATATTAAAACCACTTTCTTAAAACTCTTCTCAAAAACTGTTTTCAGATACTAATTTTTGAAACGCAAACCAAATTGGCCCTAGGTTTTGGGTGTTTTTGAAATTTTGAGAACAAAAAACAATTTTCGGAAAGCTAACCAAACATTACCTTATACTTCTAAGAACTCATAAATTACTTTAGAAGGTTTAGCTTTAATTTCAATTTCTCATTTGTATTGCCTATGCATGAACATTGTTTAGTCACAGTTTATAATGTTATATTCAGCATCCCTAGGAGAACATTAAATTAAAGTTGAGGTTTACAATTTGTCACAGAAGAAAACAGTTTCTAAGATGTAAATGACTAATGAAATAAAAAATATAACGGTTATCACCTATCACCACTATCAAAATGGCTTACATTAAAAGCTGTGATATCTGCATGTGCAGTGGAGGAATTCATCTTGTAAATTTCTCCCAACCCTTTTGTGGTTTCCAAGGAAGCTTCTTTCAACAGTTCACCATAACTTTTCATCATAAATACCGAGTCGCTTCCACCATACTCTGCTTCTAATGAACCAGATTCTTCATGATCCCTTAACCGCCCCAAATTAAAATCCCATATCTGTATAGGCAATAGTAACAACAAATAATCATTTTGGTCACTTTCTTCACAAAGATAGATATAGAAAATAAGGCACAAGCAGGTGCAGAAGGAAATGAAGATGGATTACACGTTGAGAAGTGAGAAAACTTTTTAGGTAACATATTTAAATACATTAGATGTGTAAGACCCCGTACAAAATTTAAATATTGATAACATGATATTAAGAGTACTTTCAAAAGGATGATAGAAATTTTGAATCATTGTTAAAAAATTGATCATGAAGTTTGAGTTTCGTACGTATTGACTTTTGTATCGAATTTAGTTTTGGATGTGTTTAAGCTTGGCAAGTGTGGATAGATAAGTTTTTAAATGTTGTTAGGTCAAAATAATGTTTCCATTGAATCTAGAAGGTCAAAAAACTTCTGGAGAGGTTATATGTGGTATATTAGAAGTTTGAAAATATTCCGGAATTAAAACCTATTTTAGAGAAAATTTGGGTAGAAAGAAATTTGACACTACCTTAGTATTTGGACCATAACTTTCTACCCCGATATCCGATTGACTTGAAGTTTTTACAGTAGAAACTAGACTTTCAAAACTACAAAAGTGTATTTCACGAAAATTTCGTGAGTGAGTCAGTCTCTAACAAGTTCAAAATCGAGCTGGAAATTAGGAGCAAACTATTACCCACGCCTAGACAGGAATTCTAGGTTTTTCAGCGTATAAATACCATAAGGCCGTGATCTAAAGTGTCTTTCCCTATTTTTCAACCTTAAGATGCGTAAGAAAGTTTGAAGAGAAGAAGGCGAGGATCTATATTGTTTTTACATTCGTTCTTGAACAAAATACATGATTTACTTCCAAGATCTATCAATTCTTAACTTAAAAATCTAATTCTTGACTTCTATTGTATATATGTAATTTATTTACTACTTTTTTATATTTTTTTTAAATATATGTTTCAATTCTTGAATAAACACATGATTTATATCCAAATAAATACTTTACATCCAAAATTGAACATTCTTGATTAAGAACCCCAGATCTTGAATATTGTGAACATGAACAATATCTTGCATGTTTTGCTTCTATCATTTTTCTACTTGAGAATTGTGGAACTATGGAGTTTGGTATACATGATTATTGTGGAAAAATATTGTTATTATCTCTTATATGGGTGGATATGATGAACATGGGTTGTACTCAAATGCGTATCGTAGCGTTATTATCTCTTGTATGTGTGGATATGATGAACGTGGGTTACACTCGAATGCGTATCGTAGCATGTTAGAGGTTTATGAGTGATTTGGTGGTTGTCTAACACTCGTAAGGGGTTTGGTGGTTATCTAACACTCGTAAGCGATTTGATGGTTGTTTAACACTCGTAAAGGGTTTGATTTCTTACGAGGGCTAACACCTATTTGTCCATGTAGGTTCGAGCCTAGTATACTATTCCTAGGAAATGATACGACAATACTGATAAGTTAGTACACGTCACTCCTAAAGTGTTGCAAGTGTTGTGGTTCTGCAAAAATTGATTTGAAATGGTTTGTGTTTGTAGATGGACGACATAGGTTCGATGTGTAGATCCATAGTAGTCTACTTTCGTAAATGAAATATAATATTTGCAAATAAATGTTACATTGAGAATGAGTTTTACTTCTATAAACTTTATCATTTGGTACCGTAAATTGGGATGTTGTGGGGATCATGATGTGGATCCAGATGTAAAAGTTTGATGACTTTTAGCCTTTGGAGTTTATATTTGATGGTTTACTTATATTGAGGATTTATTGATGTTTTCTTTGGGAATTTTTCTAATAATGTTAAATTTATGAATGATTTTATTTATCTAATGATACCTCTCATGGTTGAATGTGGTATAGATAGTTAATGTCTTTAATTTGGATTTTAGGCTGTTACAAGATGACTTAAGAAAGAATTTCCAATGGTTAATGGCATTCCATATACATTCTAAATTTACATATATATACATACATTTAATATTTTTTTTGGGGGGGAGGGGTGGAGGGAAGGGGGCTTCAGCCCTTGACCTAAAAAAATAAAGTCTTCACAAGGTCACGAATACCATTGGACCACAAAAAGGTTAAGTCTTCCCAAGGCAATAAGTATCATTGGACCAAAGGCCCGTTGATTTTAAATTTACATATAAAACCGCTATTAATCAAAGGAAACAGCTAATTTAATGTACAAGGTCCAATAAAAATGGGTCACACAAAAGTAAAAAATGTGCCAGAAAGGTAAAACAATTAGTAAAAAAATCCACGAGGAGGAGTTAAATGAGATCAGAAATGCCCCAAATTGTACTCAAAATCCACTAACACGTGACGTGAATGGTATTATGAGAAAGGATGGGTTTGCAACAAAAGCCTCAATTCTGATCTTCACAAGATATAATAAAGAAACATCCCACATCCCAACAAAAGCCTCAATTCTGACCTAATAGTTATATGTACCCGATGCCGTTAACCATATTGTTCATTTTTATTCAAGATCTTCATTGAAGGCAAAGTAGTCAAGGTAGCATAAAAACTGCTGATAAATGAATTTCTCAGAAGCATTTAACACTTAATCGCATAAGCCAGAGAATTATTATAGAAATCCCATAACGCTGAAAAACGAATTTTTTCGCAACAAACCTGAGTTCTGTGATCAATAGGTTTGGAGTCCCACAACATATCCCCATCAATGATCCGATCGCTCCCTTTAAAATCCACCTGACTATTCATCATAAGCAAAGATGTAAACGGAGTATTTTGTTGTGGTTGCAGCTGCCGCTGAACTGATTGATTCGCGACATTCGCATCTCCAGCACCCACATCTTCCAATCCACAACCTTCCACATTCCCCTGCCAACCACAACCCCTCCTATGAGGAGTTCCCGGAACCAAATCCTCCCCTCCACCTCCACCTCCACCAAAACCACCACCACCACCATCCACTAAATCACTTTTGTACAACTCCATCAACTGTCTCAATATCACTTGCTTTTGTTTTCCACAAGTCAGACTCTGCCTCTTCAATCCCTTAACCATCTCCCCCAAATTCTCGCTTCCATAAATCCCCCCATTCTCGTTCGGAACCATCAGATCTTGCATCGTAACAGGTGGAATGGCCTTGTACATCCACGAATCAATATGCCCATCACCATTCAAATTATTTATTGACTCCTGAAAGGCCCAATTCGAGACCGACTCTAAGTTAAACTGGGGCTTCTTATCTTCAATATCAAAACCCCAAGCCATAGCGAGCTCAAGAGCTGAAGGACACCCAGAAAACCCTTCAATAGGGTTCCGATCGTGTGCCGCTGATACAGAACAACTCCCATGGGCATCCCAGTCACACTCTTGACAGAGCACCAAATTGTCAGTGGAGCAGCGAACGGAGACGGGTTCAGATCCGCAGTTATCGCAGATCTGAGAGCGGAGGTGCTTGCGTGAGAGGGCGTTGGCAGAGTGGACTTGTTGGTCACAAAACAAACACAGCTTGGCCGAGTCGGCTCGGCAATAGAGAATGGCAATCTGCTCGTGGCAGAAATCGCAGGGAACGGTCTCTCTATCTCTGCGTTTCGGACTAATCATCTGTGTGATAGTTGTGAATGAGTTTGGTGAATGGTTTGAAAACCCTAGGACTGTTTGGTGTTGGTGGCCAAAGGAAAAAGGCTCAACAGTCAACTGTAAAGTGGGAGCTATAACTGAGAACTGATATTTTCCATTACCAGAAGAGGAAGAGGAAGAGAGAGATTAGATAGATTTTTCATCTTCTGGTGGTTTCCATTTTCTATTTCTGGTTATTTTTATTTTGGTTCTGCGTAACGGAGCACATAACACGAGAAGGTAGAGAAGGAAGTGGTTAGTTTAATGGATGAATGATGAGAGAGGGAGAGACAGGGGGTAGATATATCTCGATCGACGGAATGTGGGGGGCCCAAATTGTAAAATATCTTGACCTTTTGGCTGATCTGGCAGCAGCAGGGGCATCTTTTCACACCATCTTGGATAATATTCTGTCTCTCACTGATTATTCACTTCTTACCAAACAGAAGCGCAACAATTATTTTTCGGGGTTAATTATAAATTATACTCTTAAATTTTTTTTTAAAAATTTTAATTTATACTCTCAAAATAAAAATTTTTAACTTATACTATCAAATATAAATATTTATCTTAATACACATCTGAACCTAACAACAGTCAATTTGTCGATTAAAATTAAATGAATAAATTATATTTAGATCTCTTTATACTTGTCACTTAATTATTTAAATCCCTCACATTTAGAATATTACTCTTGTACCTCATAAAGTTTATACATGTGTAACACATAACCTATTGTCTTTGATATCAATCGTTAAAAAATATGATTCGTCTTAATAATAAATTATATTTTTATATTATCTTTTATTTTGTAGGCCTGTTATATTTTTAATTTCAAAATCAAAATTATTTATATAATATTTTTTATATCTAATGCAATCTATCACTTAAAACAAAATTATTTGAATGTCTAATTAAGAGAATATTTTTGGTCATATTTAAATTTTTAAGAGATGTAGGTATAATATTTTAAATGTAAAAGTCTAAATGATTAGGTGACAAGTATAAGAGGTCTGAGGGTAATTTATACATTTAGTTTTAGACCGCAAACTGACGGTTATTAAATTATTAGCCTGAGTTATGTATTGATACAAATTTTTAAATTTAAAAGTATAAATTAAAATATTTTATACTTAAGAATATAAATTAAAATTCAAACAATTTTTTTCGGTATAATTTGAGATTAACTTTATTTATTATTAGCTACTAAATAAATGTAGCAAAACTTTAACCTGCACCGGCTCTTCATTATCATCTTGTAAAACAGTAAAAGTGATCTGTTGTGTTGTTGGATAGTGGGACCACCCGTCATTTGCACAACTCTATTATTCAGATTATGATAAAATAATGCTAGCTGATTTGATGGTAGATAGTTTTGAAATTTTAATATATGAATTGACTACCGGATGAGGATGACTGGATGAGGATATATAATAATAGTAATGATATTAGAGTTTAATTTATTAACTTAAATTATTATAATTATTGAATTAATAGTAAGTCTTATTAAACATTAAAATTTAATATTAATTCAACGAATTACATCATTATATTAGTAGATTAGATTAAAATTTTAAATTTCAATATCATTACTCATATAGTAATTATTGTTATCTAATCCTCGTGTTATTGAGCGTTTACCTCCCCAATTTCCTGTCAAATTGCTTTTCACTCAATAGTTTTCTTGATAATTATAAAGGGATTTGCGAGTGTTATGCTATCCATCAATAAATACCACAATAAGATAAAGTGCAATGAAAGTGTGTTTGACGATGTGATTGATTCCTAATCATAGGGGTAATAAATAGACTTGATTAATAATTAATCTGATCTAACCATTTGAACTAAGTGTTATCTCAATGTGACTTTATCTATTTTTATGTATAAAGATTATTGCCTTGGAGAAAAGTTAAATCCAAATACTTTAAAATTGGCATCTATTAGTCAAATAAAAATTGACCAAGACATGCATGCTGGATACTAATGTGACCATTAAATCTTTATACAATAATGCATGAGATGGTTACCCTACTTCTCTCATTTTACGAGTAGGCATCGGATTGGACAAAAGTATGAGAGCTTATGAATAGTACACTCAAAGGTTGATGTCATTGAAAAATTCAGTTTTTTGTCAAAAAAAAAAAAAAACAGAAAAAGGAACAGTTCAATAGACCAACGCCTGATTACATTCTATAGGAAAAGAAAAGACACTATCCTCCTCTTACTAAATAAGAACAAAGCACTTACCCAAAAAGTTAAAGATAAAGTAAGTAGAGGAAGAATATTAAAATTAAAAGAGGGTAGTTGTTTGGTTCATTACAAGTTAAAAAGCGAGCAACAATAATGATTGATTCAAAGAGTCAAAAAAAAAAAAAAAAAAAATACTGAAGCTAATCATAAAGTTGGACCGGGGACCATATGGATTTAATATAAAACTCACGTGCAAAGCATTGAGAGTAGCAAAACAAGGTCTTTAACCTTTTTTAAGCGAAGTTTTGTGGCTCCCCATGTCTGTAATGGTCATCCATGACACCATAATCATACCCTTTTTTGGCCCATTACCTGCTTTCTTTTTCGGCCTAGCCCATTCCCTATTTCACCGCCAATGTATTTGACGGTGTTAAGAATCGAGAAGTGTGAGAAACGAGGGCTGAAGAGATCTTTTTTGAAACTTCTGGAATGTGTGTATGAAAACATCAAATCAGGAAAATTGAGAGATGAATTGGTCCATCAGAGTTTGATTAGTCTCTTATAATGAAGTTTCTTGTTCCTAGTGTGTGTATTACTTAAACAGGAAGATGGTGGTTACAACTTTTTTGTATGTAAAATTGTACTCTTTTGCAAGCCAAAGGTTTGCCTATTCTTATCATAGTGTAGAGTGCTTCTCAAGAAATAATGGGAACGGTCCCCTAATTTGTTGTGATTTTAAGAGGGAATATTTGACCATTAGAGATTATATTCTTCTAGGCATGACGTGATATTTTAGAAGTTGGTGATGTGATATTAGTAATTTATCCCTAGACAATGTTTGATGTTGTAATTCCCTTTTTGTCCCTTCTCTAGCTTTAGTCTGAGCTACTTTAGGTAAGCCAAGCTTGTTTAGGAATGGTTGAGCTAGTTCCAACAAATCCAAGCAGATTTAAAGATTAAATTGACCTAAACTCTTGTCAACAAGTCTGTCATTTTGTCTTTTACACCAATAACTCTCCTACTTGTGTTATAGATTTGTTTTCTATGCTGGTTTTGGTCTTGGTATCACTAGTCGCCCCCATCCCTGAGCTCGGACTATCTGAACTATATGCTAGTTGGGGCTGAGCTCAATAAAGTGTAAATGAGTTGTGCCCTGATAATAGTGGAGAGGTCGTGCCTTTCTGATTGTATCCCTAAGACCTCAGTTGAAAAGATGTGAAAGGTTCGTGTCCTTATTTCTGCGCAATTGTGCAGGCGAGAAACGTGTTAAGCACCTCGTATCTCAGTACGTGTCAATTAGGAGGCGACACGTGGGATAGGGTTTAGGAAGGAGAATTAAACGCGTCTTGCGTACCTTAAATGCACATGATGGAGAAAAAACTGCCAATTCCCAAAAGCTATTTAAACTCCCTCTTCGTCTTCTTCCTCTTTCTTGTTGTAGAAGATTATAGAGAGATAAGAGGTCTTGGCTTGATTCGATGTGTAGGTTCTTCATTGTCATTCCTATGTACTTTGTTGTCTTCGTTGGTTAGGTACGCCATCTTCATTCTTTTACCTTACAACTTAGATCAATTTGATCCCTGGTGGTGGTCTTAGAGACTCCACTTTTTAGTTCTTCATTTCTACTTCTTTAGGAGTCTCGATAGATCCTTAGCCCCTATTTTTTTCTTTCATTGACCATGCTAAAGTTCTTCGCAATTGGTATCTGGATCTTCGTGACATTGAGACTATTCCTTAAATCTTCCCCAACTTTACCTTAGGCTTGAGTTCACAGTGCCCCGTGCTGGTTGCATATCTGTCTCTTCCATTACTATGCCTTCTTCAATCTCCACCATGTTTAGGGGTCCTAATGACTATGATTTTGTGTCTCCTACTCAGAAGGAAGTGGTTGATCTGGAGGATGATGAGAACCCTTTAGCATTGATTAGCTCTAGCGAGGCCACTTCTTGACAACTGAGTCGTCGCCTTCTAATGCCATACCTTATGAAGTTGTACCTCCCGAAGTCATGCTTGAAGAGATGGCTCCTAGGAAAAAGAAACAAAGGGTAGTTGAGAGAAACAGGAATCCCCAAGTGAGCAAGGTTGCTTCGCCATCCAAAACTGACACCTCTGGTAGAGCCCAGGACCTCTAGGGAGCAAATGTGACCTTAGTTTGTAGTCACTTGATCAAGTAGATATCTTAGGTGATTAGCCATTGTAGGTGGGGGTTAAAAAAGGTTGACACACGTGTCTATACTAAAGGTAATCGAAGGGGTGAGTAAGACAAGTGGATGGGATAGAAGAAACTCAAGCAGCCTATTAATGAAGGGACAAATCAGTTGGGCAGAGGGTGGGTGAAAAATGCTTTCTCCAGCTAGAAAATCATCCGCTTCAGTGGGCTAATAATGTGAGTATTTATAGCACAGTGCCCGGGCAGATCGGGCTGCCCGCCACGATCCCCTACCACTCGCGCTAACCTATAATTGTCTTGACTGCAACGATACTAGTGATTGTTAATGGCGAGCCATGTGTCCCAGCATTAACTGGGCAGATGTGATATTTTTTCAAACGCAACATGGACGTGGCCCCGAGGAAGGTGCGACAACCAAGGTGAGAGCGGGTTCCCCAGGTCCATAATCGTAACTAGTCACCGTGGGACCATGACCTCGAGGGGACCATTCCCGTGATGCCCCGAACGCGCTTCTACCCGGGGTCCTTCCTTCCCTCTCTAGACCCTTCTTCGAGACCTTTGTTGAGGTGCCCAATAGAGAAAACCCACATAATTTCAGTCCTTTAGCCACCAATCCACATGTCCCGTCATCCCATATGTTGATCTGAATCAACAACCCTAGTTATTTTAGTAGTCCCTCTAGATCCCAGCCAAGTGCATCCCAATGGGTAATGAGCCATACATTAGGAGGCCTACTCGAGCAGACTCAGGCTGAGGTTGACAATCGTGCTCGTCCACCCCCGTTGCTCAATTCTCCCTTAAAAAGGGTCATACTTCCATGTCCCTAAGTGAGTACATCTCCTCTTAGTCCAGTGGACCAGTCAAGTATTGGTGTCCAATAGGTTGAGCATA